CCTACACCTACGATATCCAAAAATTGATGCCAACACTAATTTACAAATAAAATACATAAATTCTTCCTAATACCACAAAAAATACATCGTCTTGCTTCATTCTCTACACCGCTAGAAAAATTATACCAGTGCGTGAACTACTTCATCGTGCGGGAAATCCTTCTCCAACAAACACAACTCGCTTTCCAACACACAAACTACATATCGCTGGTGTTCAATTCCCTTCTCCAATTCACAGGAAGATTTTGATTCAAAAGCTCCCACTTTTGTTCCTAGGCAAGCAATTTCTTTTTAAGAAGATTGTAGGCTCAATGGAGGAGGGGGGAGAAGGAACAAAAGAAGTGTTTTCCTTGATTGAAAAAAATGGAAAAAGAAGATCGACGATTGAAAGTGACAAAAAAGCTCCCTTTGCTTGGTAATCTGCAATGGATTCTTAAGACCTAAGCTTAAAATAGGGAAAAGTGAATGGAAGGATGAGGAGAAGCAACATTGAGCAGAGAGAGAAATGCTAAGGCGTCGAGTGGGTGGAGAGCAGAAGAATTTAACCTCGCGGTCTGGAGAAGAGAAAAAGTGGAAGATAATGAAGGTTTGACAGAATGTTTTTTTGTTTGTAAGTTACAAATAAATATATTTAGAGTGTTATGTATATAAAAATATTAATATTAAGTGCTAGAATTATAAATAAGATAAATTAAGTGTGAGAAAAATATAATATTAAATAAGTATATAGAAATATAAATAAATAATAAATAAATAATAAATAAAGAAAGAGATATATATATATATATATATACTTATTTATTTATTTATTTATTTACATAATTATGCCCGGCGTTTGCCGCCAGATCTAACTTCTCGGGTGGCAAGATCGTAATTCAAACACTTACCACACGCTATTTAAACTATATGCTGTTCCCGAATCGACGGTGGCGGGCGCGGTGGATTTACGCAAAAGCTGTAGTGCTGCTGCTCTTTTTGTCTGCGCGGAGTCCACTCGGCCGCCAGCTTTTCTGATTTCTTCTGATACTATACGAGGTGTGTGCACCTTGATCCTCCAACTTCTTTTGGTTCACCACTGTGTGGGCATCGATACTCCACCTTTGCTTTCCGATTCCAATTTCGACGACCTAGGGTTTGCCGCTTTGCTATCTACTTAAGAAAGTCTAGCTGGCAACCCATGATATCTTGTTTGGTTTCTAAAGCATCTGTTTTGTTCGATCGATGCAATGATTTTCTTGATCGGTCTTCGTAGCTTGTAGTGCTTAACGAAACAGTGTAACTTTTTTCTTGGGTGGCGCCCGCCCTTTTTTAGATTAGATTGGATGTGCCTAATTTTTTCGTTATTTTGGATTTATTGGCTGATTTGAATCTATTAGTCTAGTTCCATGCTTGTGCTTTGGCATGTTTATTTAATGCCGGGACGAGGAAAATTACATTCAGTGGAGTGAACTGAAGCTGTTTGTTTATTTCTGGTGCAGTGGAAACTTAGAATGGCGTCAAAGCGAATTTTGAAGGAACTCAAGGACCTGCAGAAGGACCCTCCAACCTCATGCAGCGCAGGTATTTTTGTTTTTAATCCATTTGTCTTATTTGTAGTATGACTCCTGGAAATCTATCTTCCACGGTCATGGAAATTGCTTTTCTTTGTTATTCGCTTGAATAATTTAGCTTTTTTATATATTTTTTTCATGCCTTTGCACTTTTAAGTCGTTGTAATAAGGCATTTGGAACTTTTTGCTGCACTATGAAAGCACTCTTTTAGGCTGCATTAGTTATTTACTTTTAAGCTGGTTAGAAAAGATCTGATATAAAATTGGGCTTTCGTTGAAAGCTCTCCAATGCACATGAACTTCCACCATGGATTGACTGCTATAGACAACACGCATGCAGAGTAACTAGTGTAGAAAAGTAGCAATGGCTTTTTGCTTTTTTTCTACATCTCGACTCAACAATACCAATCAAAGTCTTAGTGCAATTTTCTTGCAGCAAGTTAATGAATTTTGGTTGCGATCACTTGTTATGTTGTAGCTATAACTAAGAATAAAGTTTGTCAGGTTACCTTCTTGAGGATCACTTTTGATGAGGTTAGATATTTTCTATTGATTACACTAATGATCTTTGTTTAAATTTATAATTGTTTTCTATTTCTCAAATATTTGTATATTATGGTTCATAATGTCATCTTTGCTTAAGATTCGTCTTTTGATCAATTTTTGCTTAATATTCATCTTTTAGGCTGCCTTGGTTGATACATGTTGCGGACAATGTGATTGTAATTGGTAGGATATTTGCTAAAATAAGTGAAAATTTTGAGCAATCAAGAAAATGTTCATAAGATAGATGAGTTAGACTTAGTAGAATAAAGTATGAAAGTATAACTTGGCAAGTTTAGTAGCAGCGATGTTAACACTTATTGATCAATTTTTATTATTATAAGATAAAGTTCTTCATAGATTTAGTTTGTTTATGTATTTTGAATCTATTAGATGTTGAAATATGAGATTATATATGCATTTTTAACTTAGAAGAAAGTTAAGTTTGTGTGGTTAAATTGGAGAAGTGAATGTTTGGAGATTCAAAGATAATTTTTATGACTTTATGTCAATACTATATGCATTTGAGTGCTAGCAATAAAAAGATATTTGATATATAAGTTAAGCATGATAGAAATGAGAATATTAAGATGAATATGTGGTGAAATTAAGGATTGTTTATATTATATTGATGAATAAAGTATTCTTTTTTGAAGATAAAATAATTGAAAATAAATTTATGTGGTTTGAACAAGTAAATTGAATGATAAAAATGCACCCAATAGGCTGGTAAATAAAATTAGTATTGAATGACTTGGAAGTAGGTCCAGCTCAAAGTTAATATATGGATAGAAGCTATTCTAAATGACTAATGAAGAATAGGTTTAACTTAGGTGATGCTCAAGCGGAACATGTAGAAAATGAAGTTTCAAAACTAATGATGATGAAGGTTTATACTCTAAGTTGTATGTTTTGCATGTTAGCTTGGTTGATCTTACAACTCTCAACCCACAACAAACTTCACTCCATCGGCTGCCATCCACAAACTCCACTCCAATTTTCACCTTCATCATTCTGGCTATTTCCTATCCCCCAGTTATATGATTGTTTCCTAGTTGATTTCTCTGTCTTTTACATGCTTTGACTTCCACTTCCATGTATTAATCAACATATCTGTTCCATACTTTCTAGTTTTCCTGGCATCCATCTTTTCAAGTATCTGTATTTTATTATTATTATTATTATTAGTATTATTATTATTATTATTATTATTTTGCCTTTATTATGTTGGTGATAATCCACAGCGGTTGGCCTTCCGCCGCGACAATTCGAATAACATTGTCATTGTCCCAATACAAGATCGGTAGTTGAGGAATGACGGATCCGGATGGTTGTCGAGAAGCCAATAAGGGAATCAGAGGAAAATGAAGGTCGCCAAATCTCAAGCCTGTTAATGTTGTCGGAAACAAACCAAGGTCCACCCATAAGTACCGTGTCCTATGCCTCCACTTTTTCAAATATGCAAATGAAAGAGTCATTACAAAACTAAAATAAAACATATAAACTCAATATTCATCATTAATATAATCCTAATATAATTTGAAAAAGTTACAACACAAAAAATTCATTTCCATAATAGATCTTCCTTGCATGAAACCAAATTGATTCTCCAAAATTGATATAATTTTCTCAAGTCTATAATCCATTAACTTGTTTTATAACTTCAATGTATATATTATAAGTTGCTTTATAATTATCACAATGAACATCGCCTTTATTCTTACTCACTAATATCAAAATGTTTTTCTTTAACCATTTAACATCCTCTTAGTATTCAAAACTCACATAATTCTCTAAATTTAAATAACGTGTATTAAGCATTCAAAACCCAATTAATTCCCTTTTTTATCAGTCTATAACATAAATCATCATTTGTTCATTGTGCTCTTCCAAAATAAATTCTTTCTTAAATCTCATTTAAAATTTTCCAAAAAGACAATTTCAGTTTTCCTTTATGTCTATATATTTAACTAAGATCATGTAAGTTTGCCTATAATGCATCCAACTTGATCAAAGTCGCTAGGTTCCTTATATCTTGCATTATCTATTCTGCATATATTATTTTATCCTTTCTTTATACCAAACTTATTATATAAAACAATCACAAATTAGTACTTTTACTTGGTTCATTACCTTCTATGCAAGAGTTTAAATTAAGGCTCAATAGAATTAAACTTCTGCTGCCCTTTAAAAGCGCATTTCTTACCATAATAGCATTCTTCACCTCTTTACTCCACCATCATGTCTCCATACAATCTACGTTGAAATCTACTAAATTTCTATTGTAATATTTTTACTAAAACTAACCATCTTCTAAAAAATTATGTTTTGTTCAACGAAAAAAAACCAATTTGCCTCATTTATCAATTTATCCTTAAAAGGAAACAAAAACTCTACAAATGCAGGGGTAGACGGCATACATGAACTCCTCACCAAACTCTACATTAGTTGGAACTCCATGCACTAGGTGCATTCTTAACAATCTATCTTGAAAGACTAACAATTTCTCACATTTTAAATACGACTAGCTTATCTTAAACCAATTATTTGATCATTTGATATAAACTCCTAAAATATGCATGCATAACAACTTTATAATATGCCAAAGCATCTACTGGAAATTGCATACAATCCTTTAAAAAACAAACATAATATTCTTTTCTGCTAGGTAAAAATGAAGTGATCTCATGACCTGGTTTCTAAAAGTAACTAAGTGTTTTCCACATTTCTTAAAGTATGCATTAATTATTAGAAATAGTTGGTTAATACAAATATAATGATTAACCATTATTGCAAAACCATTAGCTACCACAAAATCATATATAGGTTTCCACATCGTTTTTTTATTTCCTGTTTCATATCCACCATGAATTCTTACAGCCCATCCTATGATAAATTCCATGGGCCTTTAAATCAACCCAATAAATACACTTTCTTCCACAAGTACGCAGTGTAGTAATTCCTCTTTCTCTTCCAAAAATTATTTTTTAACTATCTTCTATTCCAACATATAGAGCATAAACATTCTCAACAATAACAACTTAATAGCAATAATCTTATTACTAACTCTATTCATCTAAATAATTTATCCTTTAACTCTTAATCGACTATTATCATAAATCTATTTGAATTGTTAACATTTCCAACATACACTAACTTACAGCATTTCCCATTATCATTGAAAAATTTCTCCTTTCCCTTTACTTCTTGAAAATAAATGATATTTATTCTTTTAAGTATTATGCCCATCAATTATCTCATCTTCCCATGCAAAGTTCCCAAACTCTCCATATAGTAAATCTAGTAATAATCTTAGATCTACCTATCCTTACTTACATTTCACCATAATCTAGTTAAGTTGTGGTACATCACCTCTAAGTGAGGAGTGTCAAGTAAATGTTTTCCTACTTCTCACTGAATATGTCATAGCAAGTCATATACAAGGAATTACTTGAAAATTTAAACTTGGATTTATTTTATTGCTGTGGCATAAAACTTATTATTGGCTACTGAACTAATGTTTACGCTCAATATTACTTAGTTATGCTAGCAACCACTAAAGGGTGGGTTTCTTTAAATTAGCAGACCATGAAACCACTTAATCGACAATAATAATTATAAAACTTCTCATTTCGCAAGTCCTAGGTTTTAGGGAGATCCATGGAAAAAATTGTCAAGAACAGCTTTTAAAACCGTTGGATTAAAATCATAATTACTTAGTTGTCATATTATGCAGCAAAATTCTCAAGGAAATGATGTTTCCCAGGAAAAGCAGCTGAAAATTTTTTTTATGTGAAATGCACACAAAAATTTTAGGTATATCCAAGAGGCGAAAATGGTTTTGGTTTTGAGAGAATTAATTCATATAAAAAATGAAAATTTGAATTAATTCATATATAAAATGAAAATTTGGTAAGTTCAAAACAAACGAAAAGGCACTAGAGCAAATACCTTCAAAGGGAAATCCGGCTGAAATATGAACAACTAAAAAGGAACTTAACGCAAATGGCTCACAAAATAGGAAAGTGTTATAAGTTATTCAGTTCTCTTGACAAATTTACAGTTACTAGAGCACGAAAAGAATATAAGCCATGCAACTCTCGCAATCGCTGCAGATGGGAGATGGGCTAAATCAATCCCAATTTTCTTTTTATGCTTTCTTTTCTATAATTCATCATTCATTTATAGTCATTTCTTATATATGTGTTGTATTAGGGTTTGAAAGTCAGTTTTTCATGTGTTTTGTATTGGGTTAGCCCCCGACATCTCTTCTTCCTTTTGAGGGTTGTATCTGTCGGCGCTTAAAAGGGGAAAAGAGTTTAATGTTTGGGGGTCGCCCGTAAGAAGCTGTCGGTCGCCGGAATCGAAATCCCGTCGCCCGCTTCGGAAGGACTTCTTAATTTACGTATATATATATAATTTTAGAAAAATATGAAATCAAACTGACCTCATATTTTTCATAGTTTA